ATCATGAAATCAAGGTAATCAGGATGTTTTGCCCTGACGTTATGGGGCCTGCTTACAGCAGCCTAACTTGAACGAAGAGGAGAAAGTCGACTCTACTGGGGATCGAACCCAGAATCGCTGGTTCGTAGACCAGCGTCTTATCCATTGAGCCATGGTGTCGCGTTTCCTGAGATTTTGTACATTACAACGTGATGGTATATCGTACGACCCCATGTTGCGACGGCAGCTCCTGGGTAGGTAGAAATAGCAACAAGTGGGGCTGAAGGAGCTGCACGGGATAGGGCTGCATGCATGGGCAGCACGGGCCAGACAGTACACGCAGCAAGGGGGGCACTAGCGACAGTAGGGGTGACTGGCAGAGGCCACAGTAGGGGCGGCAGTGGCCACGCAGGACGGCAGTAGCCGCAGCAGGACGGCCGTGGCCACAGCAGATGGCAGGGGCCACAGCAGGACGGCAGTAGCCGCAGCAGGGGCGGCAGTGGCCACATCAGGGGCAGCAAAGGCCACAGCAGGGCGGCAAAGGCCACAGAAGGGGCGGCAAAGGCCACAGAAGGGCAGTAGCGGCCACAGCAGGGGCAGCAAGGCCACAGAAGGGGCAGCAGAGAAATCGCAGCAGGAGCGGCGGAGGCTGCAGCCGGGGTGGCAGAGGCTGTAGGAGAGGCTGAAGAAGGGGCAGCAGGAGCCTCAGCAGGAATGACAAAGTGCTGCAGATGGGGCTGCAGAAGCACTGGGAAGGGCCTCAGGAGCCGCACAGAAGCGGCAGCTCTTAAATTGGTGTGGATGGCAGCGGGTGGGGCTACAAACTTCATACTGTATAATTAGATTTCCATCCGTATACGGTACTAGAATCGTTTTGTTGTGCTCGGATATGGTTGATTTATTTATGGGTTGCAATTTGCGAACACTATCATTATCCTTACTGTTCATTGATTCCAAGTTAAGCTTAATTTCCAGAGCGGCCTGCTCAGCCCTCCTCACCAGCATTACCATCGCCCTCATCATCACTAGCACTAGCATCAGCAGCAGCATCAGGCTTGGCTTCCCCAGCGGCAGCAGGCTTTGCTTCCCCAGCAGCACCGGGCTTGGCATCCTCCTGGGGGAGGCACAACTGGCGCAGGTTGTACTTGGCAAGGGCCTTGAAATCGGTGAGGATGGAGATGAAACAGATGGTCTGGGGGAGAGAGAGGGAGGGAGAGAACAGGGTGGGGTGGTGGGGGGAAGGGGGGGAAGAGTAAGATGGGGTAAACATTGTGCACTTGGCAAACAGATGGACTGGGAAAGAGAGGGAATGGAGGGGTGGAATAGGGGAAACTGAGAGAATGAGTTCAGTAAGGGAGAGGCTTGGATTGGCTGGGCTTCCCCCTGGCCCAGCAGCACCAGGTTTGGCTTCCTCCTGGGGGAGGCACAACTGGCGCAGGTTGTACTTGGCTAGAGCCTTAAAGCCTGCGAGGATAGAGATGAAACAGATGGTCTTGGGGAGAGGGAGGGAGTGGAGGGGTGGAATGGGAGACATGAGTTGAGTGAGAGAGAGGGCAGTGGAGATAAGAAGAGTAAGAAGGAAAAATATGAATGACTTTAGATGATGAACTCCACTAAAAGTGGCTTCGCCCGGACTTGAACCGGAGACCTTCAGTGTGTTAGACTGACGTGATAACCAACTACACCACGAAACCACATGCTAACGAGTCTTGTCATGGTCCGAGCGCAAAATCGCGAAGAAGCCAACAGAAACAAAAACAACTGCCCATTTGGCAAAAAGCTAACTACTCACCAAGCAGACTGCTTCAGTACAGGATACATGGGGTACAGGCACCAGATTGGCATGCCATTTTTCAGGAATTTACAGCATGTACAAGCATGCATGCATGTCATACCTTCACCATTAGCAGCATGATGGTCTTACCCAAGTTGTTTAATTCCACTATATGGGTTACATGCCCAGCTTGGCATAGCATGGTCAATGAACACACAGCATGCATGCGTGCCATACCTTCACCACTTGCAGCATGATGGACTTGCCAGGAGGGATGAGATCCACTCTATGCAGAGCAGGCAGCAGCATGATAAACCATAGCACGATTGATAAACACACAGCATGGTGCACGCATGCATGTCGCACCTTCACCATTTCCAGCATGATGGGCTTGTCTGGAATCCACGATAACCGGTGCAGGCACCAGCTTGATATACCATCGTTATCAGGATCAATAAACACACAGTATGGTGCATGCATGCATGCATGCATGTATGTCGTACGTTCACCATTTGCAGCATGATGAGATTGTTAAATCTGCTGACATCCACTCTAAGCCGTGCAGGCACCAGCTCGATATACCATACCATCACGATCAATGGACACACGGCGTGGTACACGTGTATAAAGGGTATTTTTGAGACGTCTCAAAAGGCACCAGCTTGATATACCATACCATCACGATCTAAAAACACACAGCGTGGTACATGAGCAGACTGCATGTTGCATGAGCACACAGCATGGTACATGAGCAGACCGCATGGAGCACGCATGCATGCATGTCGTACCTTCACCACTTGCAACATGATGGTCTTGTCTGGGTTTCGAAGATCCACTTTATGCGGAGCAGGCACCAGCTTGGCTACCGTGTCGATCACTTGGCATGCCATGCCTAGGGATGTACAGCCTTGTTCATGCACGTGTGCATGCATGCATGTCGTACCTTCACCACTTGCAGCATGATGGTCTTGTCTGGATTCCGGAGGTCCACTTTGTGAGGTGCAGGAACCAGCTTGGCTACCGTGTCGATCACGCCGGCTCTCTCAAGTCCTTCATTAGCTCGCTTCTCAAAAATGATCCCGAACTGCACAGGGAAAGAGAAGGCACCACCGTGTCGATCACGCCTGCTCTCTCAAGCCCTTCGTTGGCTCCCTTCTCAAAAATAATCCCGAACTGTACAGGAGAGAGAGAGAGCATGTAACGGGATGCAAAGGGTGCCTATAAAGAGGATCTGAACCCGGAAGAGAAAGGTCAAGCCCATTGTTGGCTCGATTCTCAATTATGATTCCGAACCGTACAGGGAAGAGGAAGCATACGGAAGGGGTGCGTATAAAGAGGATGCATACTGAACCCAGAGTGAAGGCTTTCGTTGCATCACTTTTATAAGTTAGTTGCAAACAGTTGGTCGCACAGAATATGTACAAAGGGAAAGCAGAGTGAATTTGATAGCGGGTTTGGGTGTGTAGAGGATGAACAGAGGTGAGCCTGCAAGGAAAGGGTCAAGCTCTGTACCGACAATACTTCAAGCTGTACAAACGGGAAATTAAACCTTAGAGGAAGAATATCATAAGTAAAAATGGCTCCGGCGGTTGGTATTAGTGATGTGCAGTTCAAAGAAGCGAAGGATTTTCTCACTGATTTGCGCTTCATCAACCTATGCAGACCTCATTTTCTGATTTTCTTGTTTACCTTTGATTTTATGATGACTAAGTGCACAGGATGCCAATAATGGGTCGGATGTGTTGTGCGCTTACAGGGGAGATGTGCATAGGGGGAATGTGCGCCTATAGGGAGGAAGTGCATAAGGGGGATGTGCGCCTATAGGGAGGAAGTGCATAGCGGGGATGTGAGCCTATAGGGAGGATGTGCATAGCGGGGATGTGCACCTAAAGGAATCATGTGGTCATCAACACACTTCTTTTGAGTCGACTTAAAAAAGGGACGTGGGCATCAAAGCATCAAAGCCTTACAGCCTGAACACACACACCTTGAAGCGGAATGAACGTGAGCAAGGCTGTACCGAGGATGGACAGTGACCTATCCCCAACCAAGCGACCATAGTCACACCACACGTACCGAAAATCCCTTGGGTTGGGCCTCTGACTTGTCGCTTGCTGATTGGCCGGCGGGGGGGAAGTGGGTGGCAATGAAAGGCCTGATGGCCGGCCGAGGCGATCTCCTCCTGGGAGGCGTAGCACGTGGTCTCCACTGGCAGCAGGTGCAGGGTGAAGCTGGCGGGATGTGAGTGCAGAGGGGAGAAGGGGCGTGGTGAGTTGAGTAGCAATGAAAGGCCTGATGGCCGGCCGAGGCGATCTCCTCCTGGGAGGCGTAGCACGTGGTCTCCACTGGCAGCAGGCGAAGGGTGAAGCTGGCGGGATGTGAGTGCAGAGGGGAGAAGGGGCGTGGTGAGTTGAGTAGCAATGAAAGGCCTGATGGCCGGCCGAGGCGATCTCCTCCTGGGAGGCGTAGCACGTGGTCTCCACTGGCAGCAGGCGCAGGGTGAAGCTGGCGGGATGTGAGTGCAGAGGGGAGAAGGGGCGTGGTGAGTTGAGTAGCAATGAAAGGCCTGATGGCCGGCCGAGGCGATCTCCTCCTGGGAGGCGTAGCACGTGGTCTCCACTGGCAGCAGGCGCAGGGTGAAGCTGGCGGGATGTGAGTGCAGAGGGGAGAAGGGGCGTGGTGAGTTGAGTAGCAATGAAAGGCCTGATGGCCGGCCGAGGCGATCTCCTCCTGGGAGGCGTAGCACGTGGTCTCCACTGGCAGCAGGCGCAGGGTGAAGCTGGCGGGATGTGAGTGCAGAGGGGAGAAGGGGCGTGGTGAGTTGAGTAGCAATGAAAGGCCTGATGGCCGGCCGAGGCGATCTCCTCCTGGGAGGCGTAGCACGTGGTCTCCACTGGCAGCAGGCGCAGGGTGAAGCTGGCGGGATGTGAGTGCAGAGGGGAGAAGGGGCGTGGTGAGTTGAGTAGCAATGAAAGGCCTGATGGCCGGCCGAGGCGATCTCCTCCTGGGAGGCGTAGCACGTGGTCTCCACTGGCAGCAGGCGCAGGGTGAAGCTGGCGGGATGTGAGTGCAGAGGGGAGAAGGGGCGTGGTGAGTTGAGTAGCAATGAAAGGCCTGATGGCCGGCCGAGGCGATCTCCTCCTGGGAGGCGTAGCACGTGGTCTCCACTGGCAGCAGGCGCAGGGTGAAGCTGGCGGGATGTGAGTGCAGAGGGGAGAAGGGGCGTGGTGAGTTGAGTAGCAACGAAATGGACGCGTGGAACCCAACCCCTCTGGCCCCCTCCTCCCTGTCCTTCCCCATTGTCCCCTGCCTCCCCATCCTAAACAGCAGCATCTGGCCGCGCTGTCAGCCCATGCGGAAGCCATCCGAAATGGACGCGTGGAACCCAACCCCTCTGGCCCCCTCCTCCCTGTCCTTCCCCATTGTCCCCTGCCTCCCCATCCTAAACAGCAGCATCTGGCCGCGCTGTCAGCCCATGCGGAAGCCATCCGCGCCAAGGTGCGCGGAGTGGGGAAGTCTGTCCGCGGACTTGAGGGGCGGAAGGCGCAGAGGGGGGAAATGGAGGGTGGGGATGAGCGGGGAGAGAACAAGGAGGAGCGAAGTGGGGAGGACGGTGGAAAGCAGGATCAGGGTAAGAAGGAAAAGGAGGAGGAAGGGGGGAAGGGGGAGAAGGAGGGGGGGGAGAAGGAGGGGGGAATGAGGGACGAGGTGAAGGAAAAGACGATTGATTTGGTAGACGAGACAACGGAGGAAGGAGATGAAGAAATCTTGAATACGAACTCTGCTGGAGAAGCAAGGGAGGAGATGACGCTTGGGCTGCAGCACAAACAAGGAGAAGCGCCAGTAGAGGCAGCAGGAGAAGGGCTGGGAAGGGAGGGGAGAGAAGGGCGCGCGGCAGAGAGGCCGGGAGAAGCAGGGAGGTGTGAGGGGGATGACGATACAGAGGAGTGTGAGCGGGATGAGGAGGCTGAGGAGGCTGAGGAGGACGTAATGGAGGAAGGAGTTGGGGAGAACTGTCACTCAGATGAGGTGAGCAGTGCCGGTTGGGGGAGGTTCCGTTCCACACTTCTTCACTCAATGCTGTCAGAGCATCCAGCTACAAATCCATCGGCCCGGTTTTCATTTGTTCTAGCATGGAGAGAATGCGAAAGTGTGTTTTTTCCTGATGCTATTGCTAAATGCTCTTGAAACATCACAGCTGGTTACACATCCATCACCGTACTTCTCATTAGCATGTTCATGGAGTGAGTGTGAACAAAGGTGCAATTGATTCCCCATGCAAGAAGGCTGTGTCTCTTAGAAAGTACCACCTCCTTATAGTGGCTTATGCGTGCTTCATGACCGCAGCGCTAATGGAACCATGTGGGCCTATCATGTATTACTATAAATTGCCACGTACAGTAATGTGAGACTGTTTTCTCATTGGCTTGATAGTTTCACACTCCCATGCAGTCACTCCTTCCCGCCGTTTCTTTCCTTCCTCTCTCCCAACTCCGTTCCTTCCATTCCCCCCACGCTTGTCTTGTTCCTTATCCTTCTTTCCACCTCCCATCCCAGCTATGCAGAGCGACTCTCACACTCTCATTTGTTCTTCCCATATTCCTTCCTCACGCACTCTCTTCTGCCCTTCTTTTTTCTCACTCAGATTCCCTTCCCCCATCCTTGTGCTTTGCCCCTCCCACTCGTTCCGCTTCCCTTTCTCTTTTTCCGTGTTCCGTTCCTTCTTCCTGATATTTACAAAGCTTTCCCGCTACTTACACTCTTTGTTGCTCCTCTTGATTCCAACTCTCGTTTCTCCATCACCCCGCACCGTCCATCTGCCTCCCCTGCCCTTCTCTCACAGCCCCTCGGCACTGCAGCAGGCCGCTCCTTTCTGCATTCTAAGGGAGAAGGGCAGGAGAAAGGGGCAGAGGAGACTGGGGCTAGGGAGAACATGCAGGGCAGCATGATTGCAGGGAGGCGCAGACGGGTGAGCATGGTGGGGAGTGAAGAGTGGGAGTATGGCGACTGGGAAGGGGCAGAAGAGCCCCTGGCGAATGAACTGTTAGTGTCTGTGGAGCGATGGGCACGGGACGCAGGGCTGTGCGGAGCAGCAGCAGTGGCAGAAGCAGCAGCAGATGGGCAAGGTTCAGCAAGCGAGGGAGGTGGTTCACGTGTGGAGGTGCAGAGTGCATTGGGTGGCAATCCAAGTGAGAGCGAGATCAAGGCGCGTGTGTGGGGGGAGATAGACACCTTGCTGTGGCTGTCACGGCGTGAATTCTCCTCTGATAGGGAGCGGCTTGTGGAGAAATGTGCCCTCGCTGCAGCTGTCCACTTCCTCACCTCTTTGCCCCTCACGGAGCAGCAGATCAACCCCCCAGCTGCTGCTGCCCATCCGACCACCCTTCCTGCCCGTCAAAACCCTGCTGCTGAGCGTCCGAACCACCTGCCAGCATCACAGGAGATCGCCCCTGCAACGCAGCAGCTCAACCCCCCATCGCAGCACATTGCACTCAGCGGCTGCCACCTCAACCACTTTCTCGCCCTCGCTCCCACCTTCCGCCCCACCCTCCTCCCCTCCCTCGCCTCCCTCACAACCTACCGCACCTCCGTCTCTCCCCGCGACATGCTCTTCCTCCTCCGCCTCCCTGCGCTCACCTCCCTCTCCTTCCATCAAACCCGCGTTGTTCCCGAAGCCCTGCTGCTCCTCCAGTCCTTCACCCGCCTCCACCGACTCATCCTCGACTGCCCGGGCCCATCAACCCTGTCTTTCAAGCCTTCAAAGGGGACATTGCCTTTGAGGGGTCTGAGAGAGCTGCATGTGAGCCGGGTGACTGACTCTGTTCTGCAGCAGGTGGGGATGCTGACGAGCCTTGAGGTCTTTTCCTGCACGTGCAGCGAGGGGGTGAGTTTCAGGGGCTGGATGTCCCTGCAGTGGTTGCAACAGCTGAGACTGCTCCGAGTGGGACCAGCACATCTGGACCGTCATGCTTTGAGAATTGACTATCCCAACGGCCGCTTGCCGACGGTTTCGCGGGTGTTTGAGAGGCTGGTGAAGACGCAAGAGGATGCTGCTGCTCGGAAGAAGAGTGTTCAAGAAGTGACACACTTGAAAAGGTTGACGAGGCAAGAGGATGATGGCAATGATGATGATGGCGGGGTGTGGACTGTCGTGAGTTTGCTGCAGCGTCTGCAGTGCCTGGAGCTGCATGGAATCCCCCACTCTATCTACGCCTGCGTGTCTCTGGTAGAGCTAAGCCTTCTCACCTCTCTCCACATCACCGGCACTTGCCTTGGCAACGACGCGTTCACACGGTTGACTAGCTTGACCTGGTTGACCCACCTCAGCCTCGCCGGGTGCACGTTCACAACTGATGGTCTCGTGATGAAAATAGCACACTGCCTGCCGAGTCTCGTGTTTCTGGACCTCTCGGGAACGGCCGTCACCCAAGGCGACACCGTCAACATGCAATCTCTCAAGTGCTTGAAGCACTTAAAGCTGCAGCAGTGCTGCAACATTGGCGGCCCGTTTGTGCGGTACCTCTGCCTTGTGCCGCGGCTCAGGGTGCTGGACCTGGGCTTTAACCACATGCCGGCTGTGTGGTTGACACATATTGTTGAGGGGAAGAGAGTGAGAAGGCTGAGTGTGAGGGGGTGTGGGTACATGGGGAAGACGGTGTGTGGGCTTGAACGGCCGTGGATTGTGATCGAGTCCTAATGTGGTGTTGGTTGTTGGAACTTAACACGTTTGATACGTGGCTGGTGTTGCATGGTTGTGGGGCATGTGGTGTATAGGATGTGGTGTGGTGTATGGCATGTGACGCATGGCGTGTGATGCATGTCATGTGATGGTCGATTCCTGATGTCTCAGGGTGAAAGGTGCATGGGCTTTAGTTCAATGGCCTTATCTTTTTGTAACTTTGTGCTTCCTTGGCTTTATATTTATGCGGGGTGGTCATCGGTGGGGGGAGGTATTCATCTGTGGGAGGTGGTGCTAATTGATGTGAGGTATGGTAGGGCTTGGATGGATGTTAAAGTATCATGCACGATGCATGGTGTATGAGACATTATAATGGCATGTGCAATTTGAAATTATGGGTTCTTTTCATTCAACCCCTAGACCACTAGCGCTGATTGGGGTGGGGGGGGGAGGAATGGGAGTGGTGAAGGGGGGGGCGGCGCGGGGTGGAAAATGGATGGGCGGTTAGGGCGTGTGTCCTTTGGTGTCTTATCCTTGTACAATTTGGTATTACGTAATCTTGGAGGTTGTGGTTCCTAGTGATCCACACATGTATTGTGGTTCAATCGGAAGGTACCGTAACAAAGGGTTGCTGAGACCAGTGACATGCACACACATGGTTTCATCTCACAAAGCGAGTCGAGAAACACGGGTTGCACCGCGACGTCTTATAAAGCGTAGCATAGCGCCCTTGCATCCCAACTGCACTTTCATGCTGAACTAAACATCCAGCATCGTCCCTTCTGTCGCATCCCATCTGCACATCCATCGTCCACGGTTGCTATTAGAGCTATAGCCCCGTGACGTGACACAAAGAGTACCGTAATCACCCGGACATACCACCCGCCGAAATTGAAGACCCCCCGGGTGGCTTGTGCGGGGTGGGTGCTATAGCGGACCTCGTTTCTACTATACCCTATGTGCGCGTTGTAAGAATCGGCCGGCTCGTGCAGTGTGAGGTCGGTATTGTACTATGCAACCAAAGACCCGTAACATTTTTGTGCTGCCCAATTTTCCTGTCCACAGCAGATGCGGTGATGCGTTGTTCGGGAGCGATGATGACGAGAGCAAGTTGTGCTGTTGTACAGCATGGTGGTCATTGGTGGTTGGGTAGTCGCACGCAACATAGCAGCTTGCGCATTGTGTTCTACGGGTCCTGTTCAGCCATTCTGCCACACCTTGTTGTTGATGAGCGTAGGGAAGAGAGATGAGTCGCTTGATGCCTCTCCCTGCCAAGTACTAGTTGAACCTCTGTGACTGATATTCCCTCCCTCCGTCTGACTGAAAGCTTTTTAGCTTCACTCTCGATTCCCTTTCTGCTACTGGAAGCCAAGCGACGAAGGCTTCGAAGGCTAGCGACTCGGAAGATTGAGGTGCCTGATGTATCTGGTGGCGGCGTCGATGAACGTGATTACGTAGTTGTATGCTCCCTGTCCGCTTTCGCGGGCGTACAGTATGTCGCTGTAGACTTTCTCCAGTGGTGCGTATGCTAGGGCGCTTGGGTTGTGGTGAGAGACGAACGGCTGATGGGGTAAGTCGGCTTCGGGGCAGGTAAAGCAAGTTCCGCGAACTCGTTGAAGTTCTTTGCCGTGTGGTAGGAGTAGTGAGTCCTTGTCGAGAACTCCTGCTCTTATCGTGTTGTTCAGTATCGTGTTGCTGGGATGCCCTAACCTTTCATGCCACATTGGTTCGTTGGCGCGATGTCCAGGTCCAGGTGATCGTCTGTATAGAGCGGAGTCGGAGTACAAGCTCGCGGCGATGTTGGCACTTCTGTGGACATCGCGTGGAGCGGGGAGTCAGCTGCTGGGTGGGAGTCGGTATGAAGTGTTGGAAATGGACATTGGTCTTTCTAAGGGCTACAGGTGTCGTCCTGGGAGGGTATGGGTGCGCTGACCCACCAACTAAATATGCCCTTTTAGCCCAGTTGGTTAGCGAACTGGACATGAATTCGTTAATGGGAGGTGGTGCTACTGAGGGGCCGGCGATTGGTGCTGTTCTCTCTATTGTTGCTTCTCCGGGTGTTGTTTCTGCCTCTGTTGGTGTTGTCTCTGCTTCTGCCTGTGTTGTCTCTGCTTCTGCTGATGTTGTCTCTGCTTCTGCAGGTGTTGTCTCTTCTTCTGCCGGTGTTGTTTGCCGAATTGTAGCTAACGCTCCTGTCCGTTCTGCTTCAGGTATTGTCTGTGAGTACCAGAAGCCTCCGGGGCTGAAATCGGGGTCGAGATCCGGCGGGTGTGTCCAAGTGGTGAAGTTGACTATTGCGTCGCTACCAGCGGTGCCTTAATCTGGGACGAAGTCGAGGACGAAGACGTTATTTTTCAAGACCGCCTTCCCAATGTAAAGTCCACCCTTCCCGTTGTACAGTTTGAATTCCTGGGTGGTGCTGTCGGCTTCGAGACGAATTCCTTTTGCCATGAGTCGGCTGACGCTGAGTAAGTTGTAGCTGATTCCTTCTGCAATAAGAAATTTTGACATCTGTAGGATAACGTTGGTCTCGAGCGACTGAAGTTGAACCACTCCTTGTCGTCGTGTGCGCAGGTTCTGATTGTTGGCGACGGTTATCACGACTTCGCGGTTCAGGCGTTGCTCCCGTTGAACAAAAAGATTTGAAGAGCACATGTGTTGTCCGCAGCAACTGTCCAAGAACCAAGTGTCCTTCCCGGACGGTTCGCTTTGAGCGATGCCTGCGTACGTCGGGTTCGGTTCCAGCGATTCACGACGAGGTGTTCGTTCGTCGAGCAATTCTTCCAATGAGTAAGTTGGTGGCGATTCAGTGATGTAGGAGTCCGTTCTTGCCAGCTTACGATGTTTCTTATGCCTCGTGCAGGTTGTGTCGTTGTCGTTGAAGACTGCGCCTGATTGGAGGGATGTAGTTGCGTGGAAGTTACTTGGCTGCTTGAGGGTCGAAGTTGTCGTGGCGGTGGCGTTGACTGTTGCTGATTTGGGCAATGAATACGGGAGTGACCGGACGTTCGGCAGAGGTGACATAATGCTGGTACGTGTCTTCGTGCTTGATGTTTGTTCTGTCAGTTGTTGTTGTTGTTGTAGCGCCGTTGAGTGTGAAATGCGAACTCCGGCACTGATGCCCTTTTCTTGTAACGTTCTTCGTGCAGGTCCATGTCTTGTTGCTCGGCATGAATTTCAGCGCAGAGGTTTGCTTCTTCCATTGGCGAGGAGAATGACCCTGGTGGAGCGCCACTGAGGACCGAGGCCTGTGATGACGATAGTGGCGAAAGCTTCTTTATATATTGATCTGCCGCATCTAAAGAATTTGTCGCGCAGACTGCGACAGCGACGAATATATGCCATTCCTTTTACGCCGGGTTGCAATTGGACTGTTGTCAATTGCGCCATGAGGCGACTTTGATTAACGCTGTCGGTTGCCTGATACAGGTTCTTCAGGTGGTTGTACGCGAGCTCGGCGGAGTTACCGTATCCGCGATAAGACAGGATGTTCTGCTGCTCATTTACCGTTATGTTTCGCAGGAGTATGGTGTACGCCATTAGTGACAGATACATATACTGCTGCTTGCCGTACTGTGTTCCGTGCGTTGGATATGGCAGGTTACCGTCGAAGAAGCCAAGGATTTGAGCACCTTCCATCATCAGCTCGAACTCGAATGACCAGGTATAGAACTCTTTCACGTCGAATGGTGTTGTCATTTGCAGTTTCAGAATATGTGCGAGCTGTGACTGCAGCTGAAGTGTCTTCGTTTCTTGTCCAGGTGGAAGCCGATTTGGCATGAAGCTGTTGGAGCCATGTTGAGGCTTGTATGGTGCGAAGGTAGGCTGCTGATTCCCGCGCGCAAAAGATGAGCCGTCAAGATTCATGGGAGTGACTCCATTGTTGTTGTTGCTGTTGTTTGATTGCGCTGGCGTCGCTTGTTGATGTTGTTCGTAGAACGACATGAAGGAGAAGAATTTCTCCATCATGCTTGGGCCAAAGCCGGTTGCTTGATTCACGAGAATTTCAGTAGACTCAGTAGCTAGTCTTTGAGTTCTGCCTCCCTCTGTCTGTAATTTGGAGGTTGGTGGAGTAGGAGTAGTGCCTGGAGATCCAGTAGACAAGCTTTTTTCTTTCTGTGTTGCCATGCAATCTGTATTTGTAGGAGGTTGAACAGAGTTGAGACTTGTCTTGCTCGCTCTCGTACCATGTTGGGCTGAGAAAAACCCTTGGGATCGTTTTCAAGACTAAGGCTTTGGATAATGATTTATTAGCGAAAGCGTCTTAGTGAACAAATTGAACCACCTTGTACTGGTATGTGAGAACAAGATAAGTTGGTTAGCAAGGGAATACAAAGCTTTTCATATGATTACAAGGAATATGAAAGGTTTAACTAACTGTTGTTGTAACTGCTGTTGCGGTTCGATACAGCGACGACTCGGGTAACTGCTCAATAGCGAGTCAGTTATGTATCCTTTCTGTCGCGCTGCTTTCGGCGAGTCAAAGGTCGTTGACCTTTGACCTTCGCTTAACCTCTTGCTGTTGCTTATGCCAACCGCTTCGGATGACTCGCTGTTACTTCGCTGTAGTTCGCTTCGCTTATGTTGTAGTGCTCGACACATCAAAAGCGCGAACTACATGTTTCCAACAGAACGGTCGAGTGTTATACGCGTTATGGTGGTGAGTGGTAAATAATATTTTCTTAGTCTCCTTACATTCAGAAACAATCAGCTTTACGTAAAAAAATCTTCGAAGCCAAAAAAAAATATTCTTACAGCGAGGGCCTGAGCTAGGATTTGGGGCACCATGAGGCCTCAGGGCAACTCATCATAATCTTGAAAAATGCCCTGATTTGTTAAAGGAATTTTTTCAAAGGCATCCTGTAGGTCCAGGGCTTCAGCAGAAATTAATCCTGACCGGCCAGGGCAAATAAATGAATGTTCAGGGTAGCACTCTTAGCAAGGCCTGGAACAGAAAGTTGGAGGCTCATTATCAGAGAGACGCACACCTACCAGCGAATGCAACGCTCAAGACAATT